AAAAAAAAAAAAGAATGAATTGTTGGCTGGGTACAGTGACTCATGCCTGTAATCCCAGCACTTTGGGACGCTGAGGCAGGTGGATTACCTGAGGTCCAGAGTTCAATACTAGCCTGGCCAACATGAGGAAACCCTGTCTCTAAAATATAAAAAATTACCCGGGCGTGCATGCCTATAATCCCAGCTGCTCGGGAGGCTGAGGCAGGAGAATTGCTTGAACCTGGGAGGCGGAGGTTGCAGTGAGCCAATATGGCATCACTACACTCTAGCCTGGGCAACAGAGCAAGACTCCATCTCAAAAAACAAAGAATGAATTGTTAAACTAAATTTGGCCTGAGGATGCCTTTGTACTTGAGTCTTTACACACCAAGTTGCAACCTAACTTAGTCCTTAAACTAACTGAAAGCCTAATTTAGAAATATACTTTTGTATTAAAAAGGAATATGAAGAATGCAAAGATACTATTACAGGACACTTTACCTTGGCTTCTTGACCTTCCAGGGAAAACTCCATTAATTCATCTGAAATCTCTTCTGCCTGGCCTTCTCCTAGTTTTGGATTTTTATCCAATTTTGGAACAGCAGTAATAGGACTGCCCAGATATTTCATTTCACTGTCCACCAAGTTTCCATTGTCCTATAAAGGATATTGACCACATTAAAAAATACTCAAAATATATAAAATCCTAAATGTAAGAGCTAAAACTATAAAACTCTTAGAAGAAAACATAAGGGAAAAATTTCATTACATTGGATATGGATAATGACACCAAAAGCACAGGAAACAGAGCCACTCGTGGTGGCTCACACTTGTAATCCCAGCATTTTGGGAGGCTAAGTCAGGCAGATCACCTGAGGTCGGAAGTTTGGGACCAGCCTGACCAGCATGGAGACACCCCATCTCTACTAAAAATAAAATATTAGCTGGGTGTGGTGGCTCATGCCTATAATCCCAGCTATTTGGGAGGCTGAGGCAGAATTGCTTGAACCGGGAGGGGGCGGAAGTTGCAGTGAGCCAAGATCGCGCCATTGCACACCAGACTAGGCAACAAGAGCGAAACTCTGCCTCAAAACAAAAAAAGCACAGGAAACAAAAGAAAAAAATAAACAAATTGGTCTTCATTGAAATGAAAAACTTTGTGCATCAAAGAACACCATTAAGAGAATGAAAAGGCAACCCACAGAATGGGAGAAAACATTTGCAAGTCATATATTTGATGATTTGATGAGGGATTAATATCAGAATATATAAAGAACTCCTACAACTCAATAACAACAACAATAACAATCAAAAAGGACATGAATGGACATTTCTCCAAAGAAAATATTCAAATGGCCCATAAGCACATGAAAAGATGTTTAATATAAGTAATCATTATGGAAATGAATATCAAAATTATAATGGGATACTACTTTATACCCATTAGGATGGCCATTATATGAAATAACAAGTGTTTGTGCATTGCTGGTGGGAATGTAAAAGGGTGCAGAGCCATACTATGGATACTAGCATGGCAGTTCCTCAAAAATTAAACGTAGAATTATCACATAATCAAGCAAATTCCACTTCTGAATATATACCCTAAAGAATTAAAAGCAAGGACTGGTGCAGTGGCTCACGCCTATAATCCCAGCACTTTGGGAGGCTGAGGCAGGCAGATCACGAGGTCAGGAGTTTGAGATTAGCCTGGCCAACATGTTGAAACCCTGTCTCTACTAAAAATACAAAAATTAGCCAGGCATGGTAGCACGTGTGTGTAATCCCAGCTACTTGGGAGGCTGAGGCAGGAGAACTACTTGAACCCTTGGCAACATGGCAAAACCTTGTCTCTACAAAATATACAAAAAAATTAGGCCAAGGCAGGCAGATCACATGAGGCCAGGAGTTTAAGACCAGCCTGGCCAACATGGCAAAACCCTGTCTCTACTAAAAATACCAAAAAAATTCACCAGGTATGGTGGCACATGCCTGTAACCCCAGCTACTAGGGAGGCTGAGGCACAAGAATCGCTTTAACCTGGGATGTGGAGGTTGCAGTGAGCGGAGATTATACCAGTATACTCCAGCCTGGGTGACAGAGACTTTGTCTCAAAAAAACAAAAAACAAACAAACAAAAAAAACATGTCCAGGCATAGTGGCACACGCAGTCCCAGCTACTTGGTAGGCTGAGGTGGGAGAATCATCAGAGCCTGGGTGTTTGAGGCTGCATAAGCTATGATTGTGCCACTGCACTCCAGCAGAGATGACAGAGTGAGACCACACACACACATACACAAACACACATAGAGAGAGAGAGACAAAATATTGTATTATTCCACTCATATGAGGTACCTAGAACAGTCAAATTCATAGAGACAAAAAATAGAGGTTATCAACAGCTGGGCAGAAACAGAGATGGGGAGTTATCACTTAATGGATATAGAGCTTCTGTTTTGAATAATGAAAAAATTCTGAAAATGAATTGTGGTGATGGTCTCACATTATTAATATACTTACTGGCACTAGACCATATACTCAAAAATAGTTAAAATTGTAAATATTATATACATTTTACTGCAATTAAAAAAAAATCACACATAAGACTATCCAATAACTGAACATACTCCAGGTCTTCCCTCCATCCCAGAAACTAAAAATCTAAATAAAACATGATCAACTTTATCTTAGGATAGAATAAAAATAGCTTTCCCTCAGGGTTGAGATTAGCAATAAGAATTCAAATCTCTGGAGTCCATGGTTTATGAAAATCAAGTGAATGCCTGGGTAAGTTAAGACCCCAGTATATAAGTGCACAAAAGACACTAGAGAAAATATGTAGGATAATAATCACATGAAATCACTAATTATTATTATTATTATTATTAATATTAATTTGAGATGGACTCTCACTCTGTTGCCCAGGCTGGAGTGCAGTGGTGCAATCTCGGCTCACTGCAACCTCTGCCTCCCAGGTTCAAGTGATTCTCCTGCCTCAGCCTCCCAAGTAGCTGGGATTACAGGTGTCTACCGCCACACTCAGCAAATTTTTGTCCGTTTTTTTCATAGAAATGGGGTTTCACCATGTTGGCCAGGCTGGTTGTGAACTCCTGACCTCAAGTGATCAGCCCACCTCGGCCTCCCAAAGTGCTGGGATTACAGGTGTGAGTCACTGCATCCAGCCACTACTAATTATTTTTATTTTACTTTTTTTTTTTTTT